ACTCGCCCACGAAAGTGAGTCGTGCGAACTTCTACGCTGAAGACTTAAATGCATAGGCCAAGATATTGACCTCATTTCTGTATACCGCAGTCCTGACTGCAGTGCAGATGACTTCCTAATAGAGAAGCTAGGCTCCTGAAACAGAAATAAGTTGAAAGACGACTCCACGAGTACACTGATGGTCACCATCTACCAAGTGAAATGAATTTGAGATGAAAGCATTCGCAAACGTGACCATTCCGGTGTAAAAGCTTAATTAGATTCAGTAACCTGTGAATGCAACTTGCGCTGGTAGTACGAAGCAGATTGATATTCAGTCGGATGATTGAGGCAAGTAGACAGTAAATACTGGTGAAACGAAGAAGCGACCAACACTTTACTGCATTTTCGATTGTAATCAGAGGTTGTCAAACTTCCAACATAAAAGTCATGTATAATGTCTCTAATTTCAACATCAAACCAAAAAATATACAATCACATTGTTACGTTCTCCACACACCTCCTTCAAAGTGAAGAACAATCTGCCAAAGACGATACAATTCCGTCTTCTTCGCGTTGCAGAAGCCCTAGTCATTCCGTTAAAAGAACCAGAAGTATGCATAGAGAAGAAAATTATTCAGCCACTTTTACTATCATGATGACAACTCTGTTCATTTGACTTAACGTTTGCTTGTTTTTCTAACTACTTAAATCCATTTCGTAATTCGCATTTTATTTCGTTTCCATGTAAATCCTGAACACAACACTTACATCAAACCATTCACGCAACTACGTAACTCTTCACTAATAATCGTTTGTGAAAACTCACCGACTCTTTTACTTCCCTATTGTATAAACATCCAATTCCTCTGGACGCTTTTGTACAACTTAACTCCACCAAAATCTTACTCATCGGTTTTCGCTTGACGAACTTTTACACACCACATACATACGATTGTACAGCTTGTTAAAAGATTCGCTGAATGTGTTGTTTTAAGTTTGATGTCCAAACACATACAAAGTGACCATGTGTAAACTTGCGATTGTACAGCTTCGAAAATAAATTAACGGAAAATGAACTCTTCGCTGAACTACTGGTCTTCGCTCTATGAATGAGGAATATATCGTGATAAAAGTGTTTCCTGTTTACCATCGTGGTCAAGAGAGAAATATCTAGGTATGTGGTCTACGTGATTCCAGAATCCTGAAGTACATTACCTACACACTGTGTCAACTGAGTAACGCGTGACTACTGATGGGCATATTTCTCCATACGGATTGGATATTAGAAGGTGGTGAATGCATTCGTAATACAGAAATTGAATAAATGTCTCAGTGGGTGGTAACTTAAATAAAACCTTCAACGAGGATACCACGAGTATTGAAACTAAGATTTCATGAAAGTGTGTACTCCTTGGAATCTGGATTGTGTAATAATATGTGTATCATATTGAAGCTACCCAGTTAAGCTTGTTGTTCCCCCTCAAACCCTCTGAGATGTTACAGAATGAGACGAGCGTAACCGAGAAGCAACCGAAACCATCTATGATAATCGTCGGAAGAATATGTGTAATTGGTTCATTGAGGCGGAAATGAATTTTCACTACAGTCGTGCTGGTGAATGATACAAAAATGTCGTACGGAAATAAGCCACAATACACCATCTTCTGAATAAATGCTTACGTGCGTTTATGGCTGCAAATGCCAACAGAGTGCCGGAGACTATGTGGTTGTGTGCGAAGTTGACCATCTTCTTACATGAACTGATTTTCCGTTCCTTATTTATACCACAAAAGACAGTCGCAGGTATTGTTGTAATCTGATGATTGGTTGATTACAATAATCATGATTTCATCGTTCATTTGTGGAAGACTGTGAGTGTTGTGATTGGTGAGTGAAAGAATGTCTCATGATATCGGTTGGCTCATATAATGAATCTGATAGGTGTGATGAAATCTATCAATCTGCACAGATACATTAATCCAAATAGTAATAATTAGTTATGTGATGGCATCCACATGAAGAAAGCACACTCGCGATACATAGCGGAAGACCAAATATAGGGAGTCATCGGGCTTATGCGATGATTTGAATTAGCCTTACTAAACCGTGTCTGAAGATGGATATTTTATCCGTGACAGTTCAACACTGAACACATTTTGACATATTCTCGACACGAATGTTTCAAGGTAATTCTCAGTAATAGACTATTCATGGGGCTTTACAGTAACATCTCAATAATATCAGAATATAATAGTCTGTTGAGACAAGTCGGAATCCGATCATATAATGTTTTGGGTCCGCTGGTAGTACGAAACAGATTGACATGTAATCAATCAGGTTGTCATTTTATTGCAGTTGAAATATGCAATCAATAGGGATATTACATACAGTGAGATTAAACAAATAAATGACCCGACTGTGCATTCACAATCCACTGATACATAAGTTTCATGAGTGAGTCATATTCAGTGTTGTGAAGGAAACGTGAATACTACAAAAGTAAAGAAAAACCAAGGGAATAAACCGCATATAAGTCCTGCCCACAAAGTTAATGATGAAATATGGTGATTATATGGTGACAAGTAATTAAGTGATTGCGCACGAATTGTGGAAAATATTATTAATGATGATGAGAATATGCCTAGGAATGATGTGAAGTTTACTAGGTGAGGAAGAGTAGGTAGGAGGTGAATATCCATATGAGATGACGGTGTGTTATTCTCTTGTAAGCGTATTGGATGAATGTGGTGATTATGAGCGCATTTGGACTTTCCTTTCCTTTCATGCATATACTTCCTTATACAATTCCTAGAACTACCATTTTCTTATTGGATAGATTTCAGATTCCTGACTGAGTGAGGAGATTCCATCGCAACACTATCCATTTGTCAAAACGCCTCATTGTCAACAATAAATAGAATCTCCACCACACGTTTCTGCGACAGTAACATTGTCAATCAATGACAAGACATTTAAAGATAACAGTTGTGTCTGTTAAGTTATTATCCTCAATGTTGTCGACAGAAGTACACACACCTTTTACACCATTTCCGACTGCCTCTTGACATACAGCATCCAGGAAAATCTTCGGCCGTTCAACGCATAAATGATACAGTTGATGAGATATTGATAAACCTGAACGAAGAAGATCTATCTACTCATAGATACTCACTAACCCGTAAGGTCTTCTGGGATGAATTATAGGCAGAATGAATGGATCAGAAGTACAGGAGTTAGGCATATTTTACTCCTTCAGTGACTTCAGAGATTTAATAATCTGGAACTACCTGAAGCCCCAGTGGAATCATTATTTACTGAGAGACTCTGTTCGAAGGTGGAAACAGTGAACTGGTGGGGCATTCATTTCTTCTATATTGTTAAATTTATTCAGCGTCACGTCTAGTGATTATATGGCTATCACCTGACTTGAAATACTCCATGTATTCTTCACCTTCTTTCGTGAGAATCTTGTCTATCACCTGCTTGATATATAATATTCTACTCATGAACACTTCAATTTCGTTTTTCATTGACTCACGTTTGGCAGATAAATTGAAGTCTCATTTCTGCAGGAAACAGCTTTCTTCCAAATCTCTCTGAATTCTCTCGTCTCGTCTTTCTAACTTTTGTAATTGACAGGTCTGGAGAAGTTAGTGGGGACGGTAGTATGAACGAATTATTAGCCCTCATAATTTACTATTGAGACATTGAAATGAATATTATTCCCACACCTATGACTTCTCTCTAATCACTCGTGCCCTTCCCACACGCTGTCAATGGAGTTGAAGTTTGAACGATCAATTCTTGGTTGTTTGCTCAAAATCAACTTCCCCAATTTTCGCGGAGGCATCAATACGACAGTCATCGTCTCATCGGTCGCTGTTCAGAAAGAAGAGTGAAACATCGTCAGAAGTAATACACTGATTTATTATTGTAATATTCGCTTTCAGATCTTAGTTCACTTATTCTTTTTATATGTTGGTGTAACAATGAAGAAATATCAAGCGGCAGATCGGTGTTTTGGATTTTGCGTCCGTTATTACTAAGCGTTTCTGAGAAATCTTCTAAGAACAGCGTGGGCCCGAGCGTAGCGAGAGCTGGGCATTAACGGTTTATGAGACTTTGCTGACACACGCATTGAATTACTTGAAGGATATTTCGTCTAACCAGCTACGTGAAGAAGGCAAGATGATCTCCTTTCACGGCTCGTTAATTCATATCAGTCTTTGCAAACCCACCTTAACCTCACTGGTGCGCCAATGATGGCTCTATTGGATGGTGGTGAGCATTGAGAGCTGTTGGTAGGACATGTGGGTTTCCGTCAAGTCAACTCCGTAATATTATTGTGAACAGACACCTGAACTCATATGAACCATTGGACGATGCTCTCGTGTCAGAATGAGAGAACCATCTTCATACGAAACCCTCCACACACTTCTCAAACATAGAAACGGAGAAGATTAGAAACAATTTTATCCCCTAACAACATGATGTAAGCACTTCACGAAAGCTTATTTGTCACGTCTTTGATGCGATCAGGGAAGCGTTATGTAAAAATTGTTTTGATGAACTCTTTCCTTCAAAATATGCTGCATAGTTCTCTGAGTACAAACCAATCTGCACCACATACACATACCCATAGGACTCAAGGAGAATTTAGGCATAGTGAATGAATCCAAACCATCGTCGACTGTCTCTTGAAAGGTATTTGCTCACGAGTTTATTAAAACACAAGCATGGCGAATTATGGGGACCAAGATATGCATAGGCAAACAAGACAAGGACGTTCAGCCAGAAGTGAATTATTGAATAAAGGCAACGTCTCATATGTAATGCGTGGTAGTAAATCAGTAGGACGGTGCAGGAAATTAACCCAACTGGTTCAACTGCTCTTTTCACCGCTCCTCAACACTCTACACAATATCCTAGCTAAAAACTCTCATGGTGTAGAATTATTTCTAAAATAGAAATAACTAGTATCACTGACAAAATTTTCATTAAACGGATAACGCATGGACCTGACCTGAAATCACACAAATAATTCTACCCTGTGTACATTCTTTCATCGTTCGATATGAAACAACTGCCGTGCGTTATTTTTATGCGTCAGCTGATGATCATCGGTTATGATCACTATTGAAGAGGATGGCTATTTTCTAAAATTACATACACTTCCACTGTGTGTGCTCACACTTTTAGAATATCAACGAGAGTATTGAATAAAGACGAAATTTAGTTGACTAAACGATTCGATGTGAAGTTCTTTACACCGATGACGACGATCATTTTGACTGTAGTGAAAAGTCATTTCCGCCTGAAATGAACCAATTCCACTTATCCTTTTGGCAATTATCACAGATGGTTTTGGTTCTTTCTTGGTTGAGGGTGACCAATAAGCTTACCTAGGTAGCATCAATATGTAACGCATCTCATTACACAATCCAGGCAGCCTGCTCAAACCTTGAGCTACCAATATATTCTGTCACATTTATTGCATGTGATTACTTGGATCGTTTTTTTAATTATTCATTTATTTGCAATACTCATCTCATGGTGAGAACTGGCTGTTAGCCAAAATCGGTGGACATTAATTTACGTCAATATTTGTGTCCTCAATACTGGTCGTGATAAAAATGAGAACAAAGGCTCTGCGCAGGCAGATACAGTGAACATATAGATGATCTGACGTTCAAAAAACAGCCACAAAGGAATGAAGTGTTAATTTTCTGTGAGAAACAACCAGTCAGAAGACTGTGTCTTTCATTTATATCACGAACATTAATGTCACACCTTGTTGTAGCACTTCAGAAGTATCTATGCTTGCTGATGAATTCACTATTTTATCTGCCGACATTTAGGGGACTCAGCACTTATGGAAATAATAATAATAATGATCATAGTGGTATTTATCATTATATTTGGCATTTCTCTGTGAAAGGATTTATGAATTGACTGTAGAACTGCCACTGTTAATGTTATGTCGCCATTCATATTGGTTGCAAGTAATGTGACTGTGAATGCGCGTGTTCAAGGTGTTATCAGTCTGAATTGATATGATTACAAGTGTCAATCATTTGTGCTCGAAACCCCGTCGTGCAGTTATGAATACTGCTTCATCTCTGCGTCATATTTGAGATGAGCTTACCTGATACGGAATCACCTTCTCCAAAAAAGTGCCACCATGTTCTACAACTTCACTATTGCTATATCAACGGTAGATGCTGTTCCATTCAAGACCTTCACATGTCTAGACAGGTTATTTCTCTGGATTTCTCCGGATCTTCAACTCCAATGTAAAGTCAGTGCTACTCAATATACGGATCAGAGACTTGGCCAGCGCGTCATAAAGAGCATCTCAAACAAACTTCAGACCTTCATTAACAGCTGTCTTCGCTCAATAATCAAGATCAGATGGCCAGAAAAGATCAGCAACATGGATCTCTGGCAGTGAGCGAACTAATCAGGAACCGATTAGGAAACAAATAGGCAGGAAGGAATGGAGATGGATTGGCTAACCATAATCTGAGGAAACCATCAAGTGACATCACTAGACAAGAACTCTAGTGGAACTCGAAAAGGAATTGGCGAGTTGGTCGTCAGTGCAAGGGTGACTTGGAGGAGGTGATGTGAAGAGGAGATGAAAGCATGTAGACAGACTTGGAGCGGGATGAAAACGTTGTCAGAAAGCCGAAGGCAATGGAGGTGCGCAGCTGAAGCCCCATGTTCCTCTAGGAATTAAGGGATATAATAATAATATTATATAATATGAAGGAATTTGTCAGACTGCAAGCATCCACCACAGCACCCACAGCTCCAACCTTGTGTCTCCTCACGTAAAACAATAAGTCTTTACAGAAGACTTTATGCACCTACGTCTAAATATAAAGATTCCACTATGCCTTATTTAGCACGTAATTTATGTGATGAAAGTAGTGTCAGGCATGAACTATCTAACCTTCTTAGCACTAATAAATAAACCATTCCATCCACGCCTACAACATCAACCTTTATTGTGATTGAACTTCTTATATTTATAATCGCCTCAGTTTTTTGGTTTTATTTATTTTCCATGAGTGCGAACATTGTTTAAGCTGTGTTACCACTATTAGTTTTCTATTGCTACTCACTAAACTATATCAACAGAACATTGAGGTCATTGTTGCCGTCAAAAATAATGATTATGCCGTCTACGTATCTTTTATATAGTCGTAAATCGTCAGTGCTCAGCATTAGTGGACCTTTCTCGAGGCTTTACATAAAGCATTCTGATAGTAGTGGACCTAACGGAGATTCCATCGCAATATCATCCTTTTGTCTGTAGATGGTGTCGTTGAATGTGAACTGGAAGTTCAGAGTGCATATCAGTAGTAATCCCTACAGTCATGGTAACAGCTTTGTTGATTTTGATGACTTAATTTTGTTTCTTTGCTTGTTTATACATTACTTATAATTCTTGTATTCATTTAGAACTCTTCCTAAATGTCGTATTATCTACTTTTTTCCTATGTGTTTCCTGGGTAAAACTGCATTATCAAACTATTCATATTATTACATAACTTCTTTTACATTTACAACTGTTTGTGACAACTCGTCACCGTTGTTACTACCCTAATTTCATTAACACCCACATTTCTTGGCTGATCTTGTATTACGTGACTCCAATAACCAATCTTCACCTGTTTAGTTAAAATATCCATAACCAATAGTATTTTTCTTTGACAAACTTAATGTATACATACATACAAAATGACACATATACATATATTTGCGATTGTACAGCTAAGAAAATGAATTCGCTGCCGAAAAGGGACTCTTCACTGAACTATGTGTTTTGTTTTCATTAATTCCTGGATGTGGATTATCCATGAATTGAAATTGGATATTTCTACCAAAATTACAGTTTGCGATAGAGCTTGTTTTTCATCATTTCTATGAATAAATTATTTCTCAAGTGAAATACTCAGAAATACAAGTACATACTCATAAGATACACAACGTGTGATGTGATGTTGACCTCAAATAACACAAGTATTATTTCTTCATTCTGTAAACAATTACGGGTTAATAAATTCACCTCATTTGTAGGTTGTTCATAATATAACCTAAGTACTATTCAACTAGTACACCTGTACTAAGCATTCTATATCATTAGTTGGTCTACGTGAGAAACACAAATATTTCTTCTTTCTGCGGACAATTGTGCTTCTGAGCCATATTCTATAATCAATACTTAACTAGTACACTGGTTCCTGATGGAACACACGCGCATTATTCATTCTATCACTTTTACAAATGATTTATTGTGATTAATTGGACAAGAAGTACACTATCCAGACATCGAGTTGAGTTAAGAACGCTCTCCAAACTGGTTGCATATCGACTAACATACCGTGTCCTAGTAATCTCATTAAGGTACGGAATAACAATTTCAAAAATCAAAATATAATTGTACTACTTATTATTGACATGTGTTCCAGGTGGAACATCTAGATTGAAGTGCACATCTCCGTTTCATACATATCTCTACAGCCCCTTCCATCTGACATCACTGATAATAATAATAGCCGATTTATTCCAAACTGTATGGAGTTCACAGCAAGTTCTAAAATGTTCCATTCGATTTGCTCGTCACATGCGCTATCAAGAGTGAATAAAATTTCAACTATGTGGATAAATGGAAATTAACACATGTATTAACAAGAATAAATTTTCGATTGAAAGTATGTAAGGTGACGCTTATTTGTTGTAATTATTCTCAGAAAATCATCAGCTTCATGTCTAACACGTCTCTCGTCTCTCCCATGAAATTCTGGCTAAATAAGTCTTCGCTGAGCTATTATACTATGTCGTCTGAAGATAGAGTCTAATACAGTTGGCTGCATTATCAACTGATGAGATGTGATAGAGGATTTGTGAATGAGCAGGGAGCACTGATTCTGACAAGAGGATATTCGCCAGTTTCTTGCATGAATTCAAGTGGCTGCCCGAAACAATATATAGTGCGTTTAAATACTGTAGGGCCACACACTCTGACGACAGCTTTCAGTGTGCCGCACTATGCGAAAAATTTATTGTCAAGCTGTCCAGGATTGATGAATTGAGAAAGATACAGAAGAAGATGAGGTAAGTATACAAGAGTGAACAGTTATTCAAGGTAGAGGCTTACTGATTGTGAGCATGCAGGAGGGTTGGTGGATTGTGACCTGATGTATTGTATTGGAAATTTTTCTCACTGTTACCAGTGTCTTTTCTCATTCACTTGTTCGCAGTTGATGCCATGACTCAGATGTAAGACAGGCAGAGATACATCCCCTGTCTACAACAGTGTTCAACAGAATCTTGTGATTTAGCATGCTGCCAGCAATCCAGACATCACTAACACTTTGCAAGTGACAACCAACTGCGAATTGGATAGGAAGCATCACACTTTGGCAAATAATAATAATAATATATATTCTCATTTTTTACATGAGGGACGCCAGTTTACAGGCATCATCAATTCGATAAGTTACACATAATATTAATAAGCATATTTAGTAAAGATAATATAATAAGGTACATTTTTTTCCCTAGCTATGTAGGGCACACCAATTGTATAGGCTTGCATAAATATTGTTTTAATAATAATAATATATTCCTTCCTGTTTATGCAGGAACATACCTATTGTACAGACATGGATAAGTTATCATATAAATTACACATAATTTGATGTATGATGAATTTACAGTTTGGTTGTTCTTTCTGACATCAAAGTCAGTCGGAACAGTCTGCTATAAAGTTTGTTTGTGTAACACATAAAGAGATATAGAAATATTGTCTTCGCATTAACAAAAAACCCAGACATCAGATGAATGTAATACAGATATCTGGGAAAAATAAAGCTTGAAGTCAATTCTCTTATATAACTTTGTTGTGAACAGCACTCTTGGCTTAAAGATTATTGATGTATTATGTTGAGATCGGTGATATATTTATTCCATTTTTTCAGTAGTCTTATCGTAGTTTTATAACAGGAAAGAAAT